TTCTTGAACACATGGGATACAGTTATAATAACATTTTAATATAATTTTGTTTGAATCCTATCATCTGGGTCTTGCTTTTAAGCTTTATTAGGCAGGAGGCAAAGCAGCATTTAATTTAGGGCTAATTTTGCACCAGTATAGAGGCACAATCCTTCTGAGTACTCTACCCAATGTCCTTGTGAAATATAAGTTTTTCCACTGCAGCCGGTGGGAATGGGCAGGATTTCCAGTAGGACGTATGTATTAATGTTCATATGAATATGAATATACAGTTTGGTGTTTTTACATTAATAAGCTGGTGTGCTTTATTAGAGAAAGTCTTGATCGCTTAGATTAACATCATGTGAAATTACAAGACCTTAAAAGTAAGGCTCATCCAGTAAGAAGACATATGTAATTATTATTAACCACTCCATGCCAACATGTGAACTGAATTGTATTCAGAGTGTAGAACAGATACTATGACTTTTTAGGGCTATTTCCAGAGATTAACATACATACCCACACTCACACAAAGTGAGCATCTTGCAACACTACAGCAACCATTATGCACATATTCTCAGTGAAGCAAAACAGTGACCAAATCAATAAGGTGATGTCAGGGAAAGCTGGTCCTCCAACTCAGGTTGCCTACAATTATAAATAGAAAGATTTGAGCCTCCAGGGTTTTTCCAGTTTTGATAAATCATTTGTTGAAAAGATTCTCTTTTCTCCTTTGAATTGTCTTTGCAGCTTTATTGAAAATCAGTAGACCATATACAAAGTTACTCTAAAAAGTTTGTGGAGAAATAGAATTAAAAGATAATACAAGTCTTTCCATGAACTTTTTGAAGACCCCTCATATGTATGGGTTCTACTATTTCCTACAGGCCTCAGTGAATTGTTGGCACTTGGGCAGCTCTTTCATTCTCCCTGTAGTGACTTACAGATTCCAGAGCATTTCTTGCACTGGGCAGAGATTGTTCAGCAATGAGGAGCAGGTATACTGGTCCTCCTGAAACATAGGGCAGTGGGTGCATCCTCAGAACTCTTGTGACCAAGCTGACTTTCACCTTCACATGATGAGAAGGCCCAGGTAGTGGTGATCTGCTGTCTGCTGCTTTCATTCTGCACCCTCTCATGCATTGTCTTGGGTCCATATGAAGCTGTTGGAGGATACTTTATCAAAGAAAGTTCTTTACAGCATGAATGAATTAAACAGCTGCATATTACCTACAACATGATTGAAAGAAGTAAGCAAGTCACAGAAGAACATGATTAAGATTCTATTTATATAAAAGCATAAACAGACAAGATTAAGTAATAAATAGTTTACAGATACATTCAGGTGTGGTAAAACTATACAGAATTCAGGTTGTTGGTTCCCTCTGTGGAAGAGAAAAGCTGCCATTGAAGAAGGACATTCAGGGAGCTTCAAAGGTACTAGTAATGCTTGATTCTCAGGCCCGGTGGTGAGTGCATTGGCATCTGGGTTTTGTTATTGCTTTGATTTGTTTCTTTAAACCACATGTGTACATTTCACACACTCTCACGAACACAGAATGAAAATCATACAGCCATTGCATCATAATATTTCCCCAGCAATGATAAATGTTCCCTCTTCACACAGGCTGGACTGTTGGAAGATTTTTGTTATATAGCCAGTTGTCTGAAGGAGGAAAAGCCAAATTCTCCATTGATACTTGGTGTCTTGTTTTGCCCTGAGGGCTTATCCCTCTCCTGTTTGACTTCTGGGGATGCAGAGGTCAATCAAAGACAGAACGATGCTACAGTCCCCTACTGCTTCTTGGGCAGTGATGGAAAATTTCCTCTGACCTTGTGTTTTCAGACTTGCAGAATGGAAAAGAAAGGACAGAGTTCATTCACTAAGGGCACCAAGGGTGAAAGAAGGAGCCAGGGAGATCTCCTCAGGAGTTGGCTGCCCCATTCCCTGAGGAAACCCCTGCTAAGGCATGTGCCTTCAGACAACAGTTTGACAGTCAAGAATCCAAGGCAGATACCAGAAGTGTTATCACTTCAAGTTGATTAGGATCTCAGAGACAGGGCAGTGGCACTGGGCCTCCCAGCGAGTCACTTCATTTATCTCACGTGTGCTCTGAGAATAGTGACAGTTACTGCTCACAGAGCCAGGCTGTGGGATGGCTGCAATCATAGAACAGATCACAGGACAGTACTAAAATCAGATCCTGTTTACTGAGACCTTGCCCTGGGACATGCCCCATAATGAATGCTCTTCTAGCACTATCTTGTGAATTTCTGGCTTCCTCTTTTTCATTTTGTTTTGAGGCTTCAGAATCTAGAGGAAGAGAAAGTGCTGGAGATGACCTCCCTCGTCTACCTCTTTCCCATCTTCCCAGTGATTAGGTGGAATGTGCCAGCTACCTTCTGATCTGTGCTTTTTTCTGGAAGCTTTGGAAGGATTTTGAGGTTTGTCCAGGAGGCCCTTGAGTAGTACTGGGCTTGCCTGAGAAGGTTTGCTTCAGAAGTACACATGTGAACAGATGGGCCTAGGACATGGAAGGGTATAGATACTAAGCAACAGGTAGGGGAGCAGTTTCTACCTCATGACACCTGTGATGCTCTCATTCCTCTGGAAACAGTAGGTAGAGTCATCTTGTGGCAGGAGTTGATGAGGTTCTGGTTTTAGGAGAGTGTTGAAGGTCTTTGATGAGCCCTGGTGGGATTAGTGAAAGGAATTGGGAGACAGCAGTGAAAGGGCCTGTTGAGTTTGAGGACGCAAAGAAGTCACATCATCAGGTTAGCCACACATGGGCTTTGGACAGAGGAAAATTGAAGGAAAAAAGGGTAAGAGACCTGAAGGGGCCCAGTGTGGTATAGTGCATTTAGCATCTAATAGACCTGTGTTTTATACCTCGTTCCACCACCAAGTAATTCTGTGACTTTTGGGGAAATCTCTTTAAGCTTGAGTTTCCTCATCAGTCCTATAAGAAGAATAATACCACCTCTTAAAGTTGTTGTGATGATGGAAAGCCATGATGTATATGATATGCTTGGTGCTTAGTAAATACTGAGTAAAATCTGTCCCCATCTTTTTCTCTTGACAAAACAGATTAAAGGTATTTCCTGTTCCAGGGAATCTGCCCTTGACGTGGATGAGAGGAATGTCAGAAATTTCTGAGCAATAAGGAAAGTGGGGGGGGACTGAAGGCTGCAAAGCCTAAGTGACATCAGAGGTTGGGGTATTGGGAGTGAGATAGTTAAAATGATGATAGGATGCTGGAGTCAGAGAGTAGGTTCTGGAGCTGAAGATTTAAGAAGTTAAGACATTCCGGGTGCAGCTTTACTACTGTGGAGTTGGCATTGAGAAAGAGTAAGGTCAGACCATGGCATGAGCCATCCCTCTGATCTCTCAGAAGGAATGGGAGTGTTGGCTTTGGAAAGGAAGACTGTGAGCACATTCACAAGCTACTCGAAATGTTGTGGCATGGTAAGGACAGTGGTTGTGAGCAGTAAGGAAGGGAAGGACTTGTGTCTCTAAGGGAATGAAAGTATGTCAGGGCAGAGGGGAATGGCCAGGACAGTGGTTGTGAGCAGTAAGGAAGGGAAGGACTTGTGTCTCTAAGGGAATGAAAGTATCATGTCAGGGCAGAGGGGAATGGCCTGGGAGCAGCAGTGAGGAACCTTGGGGTTGGTACAGAATGAGGCTGGGGCATGAATAGACTCTGCTCAAGAGGGCCATAGTGCAAGGCAATGTGCAGGGGAAGCCAGACTGTACATGTTCGAGGGTGGGAGGCTTACAGGGCTTGAACCTGGATGCCTTGGACTGGCCTGTCTGGTCACTGGCTGCAGCTGTCCAGATGGTGAGGTTGGCATTGCCCTCTGACTGGACATCTAGTTATTCTATTGAGAATCAAGCCCCAGTCCTTTCTCTTGTACCTGAAAACTGCCTCCACCTCTCCCATTTCTTCCCATCCCCCATTAACACATACTCAGTGGGCCCCTCCCTTCCTTCTGAAACCCCACCTCTATGCAGTCTCCAGATTCCTTACCTGTAATGCAGAAACAGCCCTCAAACTTCCTAGCCTTCGCTCTTCTTATCATTACAACTTGAAGAATTAGTCCTTCTTCTTTATTTCTTGTACTTTTCCTTGGCAGTAAGATATTGATGCAGTACTCTCAAGCCTGTGTCTTGAGCTCCATAAACTACTTTATCTCTTCTCCTTATGTGAAAACATGGAAAGAAAAGCTGTTAGAGAAACCTAAAGAATCCGGCTTGGACCAGCTCCAGAGAGCAGCTTTACCCAGGGGTCTTGTGGGTGCTCAGGGTGCTGCTTTCAGGTCTCCAAAGCAAACCTGGGCCCAGCTTTATCTTTGTCATCTCAGTTGTCCATCCTTTCCTGGTCTGCTCCCTCAGGCCTATACTGAGCTGCTCTGTATGACCTTAGTCACCCAGGAAACAGAACCTCTCCTTAAATCTGAATCCCTTTCCTGAGGAACCCACACTCAGTGTCCACATGCCACCCATCTTGCTTTTGTGAACTACAGAACAGCAGGCCCCCAATATCTGTGGAACCCACTTATTGCCTAACTCAAATGTTCTTTTGCTGGGCACAGGGACCCTTAGGCTCCCTTCACCAGTCCTTCAGCTGAGACTCTAACACTCCATTTTGGGCCCTAAGTGACTCAGTAATGGAGGAAACATACCCAAAGTCTTTTTTAGCATGTTTTCCTGAAAGACAGCCATAAAAGATTATGAATTTTGCCTCTCTGCATCAGCTGCTAGTTTATTCACTTGTTTTTTTTTCTAATTCTTATGCAAAAACTACATCTGATGCCTCATTTCTCTCTGAGGCTCTGGGAGGTTACTTTGGCTTCCTCAGAGCACAGGGCTCAGCACACAAATCATGTAACTTAAGCACTACTGATACTTGTCTCTAGTTACCACTCCCATGTGCCCTGGTACTTGTAAAAAGGACATTGGAATCTGGTCCCCAAGATCCAGTGCCATCCAGCTCTGACCAGCTCTCTTTTCCTTCCAGGGAATGTGCATTTCTTCTCTAGTGGCCTTCTGTTTTCTCACCATCATTGTGGAAGTATCACCATTTCCAAGGATCACATGAATTCCATTTCCTTCTATGATGGGGTAGGTGTTTTACCAGTCCACCATTTTGGTGGTCAGAAGGATACTTATACTTCTGAGGGGAAAACCAGAGAGTTCCTTGTCTTTCCTCCACTACCACAGGGCAGGATATCAGGAACCAACAGCCACTGAGGCAGGCAGGGAGGTTGTGGAGAGGCTTGGGCACTCTCAGGGCTCTTGGGTTGACAAGACTGTCAACCTTACTGCTCTGTAAAGGGCTTAGCTAGAAAGGGTGTATGGGTCAGAAGGGCTGGCAGCTCCCTATGCCCAATTTACTCACCCAAAGAGGACTAGAAAGTAGGCTGAAGAAGGCCTCCAGTGGCTCCTCACAAATGGCCTCCACCCAGGGACACAAAGGCTCACCCTTTTAAGAACTAGAAAGAAGCTGTGTCCTGTGGCTTTGATGGGACTCCACTTATCCACTAGCTTGAGAAAGAATTATAAGTGAGCCAAAAATGGCTAACTTTCCTTGAGGGCTCAGCCACACCTCCCTCATGCACTCAAACTTAAGTTCCACCCCCCAGAACTATCCTTTTTAAGTTCACCAGTTTGTACCAACACTTTTCATTCCTCTTATGAGGAAGAGGATGGCTGTGAATTTCCTCTAGCCTATATCCACTGGCCTGGGCACAGCTTGTCTCACAGTGCAACACAAGAGCAGAGGACAGGCCCTCCACTCTGCCTCATTGCAGCCTCAAAACTAGCCTGTTTGGGAGCCAGGACAGAGACTAGGTGAGGTGGATTGGTCAGATGGCTCAGAAAATGAGTTCTCTGAGCAAGTATTTCTTCCACATAGAGCCTACTTCCTTAAAGGCTGTTCAGAAATGCTGGCAGACTTACCGAACACATTGAATGGCCCTATTAGATAAAAGCTTTTAGGGCTGTCTCAATAGAGCATTGTGCTGATAACACCAAGGTCTAGGGTTCGATCCCTGTACCATCTAGCTGTCCTCTCATCCCCTTCTCCCCCTCCCCCACAAAAGCTTTGATATTAAGTTTAAAGAGTCTTCCAACATCAGGGAAGAAGGGATGAATTGTTCAAGAAACAGTGCTGGGATGATGTCAGTTAATTTGGGGGGAAAATAGATTCTTACCCCTACCAAAAAATCAAAACAAACTTCTGATAGGTTAAAATTAGTTATTTTTAAATTCCACAAGTTTTCATTTAAAATCTTTTAGGTTAAGTTTAAGCTTTTAAAAGTTAGATTTGAGAATTGAGACACAATACTAATACTGTAGGAATTGGTGAGGCCTTGACTTAATAGCTTTCTTTGTACCGTGATTTCCTTTGGGTGTATTTCGCTAAGTGAAACTTGGTAAACTTTTTGTTAACTAAATTTTTTCTTAAAATAAATACTTAAAAAAAAGAAATAAATTCCACAAGTAGGAGAATATTAAAATGAATATTTATTAAAGCTTTAGGGACAGGAAGACTTTCCAAGCTTAGAAATACAAGAAATTCTAAAGGAAAAGTTTGTCAAATTTGGCCACTTAAAAAAAAAAAAAAAAGGATCACTTAATGATTTTTAAATTTTTTGCTGATAATTTAATTTATTGAAGTATCTTTAAATACACTTAACTGTATCCGCTTAAAGCTTTGACAGATGTATAAACTTGTGGACCCACCATTATGGTCAGGATACAGATTTTTGTCACCCCAAAAAGTTTCCTCATGCCCTATTACAGTTTATCCTTTTCTCTACCCCTGGCTTCAGAAAACCACTGATTAGCTTTTCATCATTGTAGATTAGTTTGCATCTTCTAAAATGTATAAATGGGCATCATACATTCCGTACCCTTTGAGTCTGGCATTTTCCAGTTAGCATAATGATTTTTAGATTCATTCACGTTATTGTGTATATCAGTAGTTAGTTCCTTTTTATTGGTGAGTAGTATTTCATTGTATGGATATATCATAAAATTTTTCAGACTAATCAGTAATGTAAAATTCTAAAAAGAATTTCAAAAAGAATTAAAAAGCAAAAAAACTGGGAACAACATTTTTGGTGATTAAAATGAGTTGATACTTCTTTTCTACAAAGAGCTCTATTTTTATCAACATGGAAACAGAGTCCCAGGTTAGGGGTGTTCACAGGACATGAGACTACTTAACAGGTATAGGGAAGCACATCAGAAGCAGCTTCCTGCTACCAGGTGTAATAGTAAATAAGCAAAGAGTAAATAAAAGGAACTGTTGGCAGAGGAGAAATAGAATACGTAATATGAACGTCCAGACATGGGGGGTGGTCTAAGAGGAGAGGACAGTGCAGTCATTGGAAATGTTTACATATAATATGTAACAGCATGGCAGATGGTAATGGTAAATCGTTTGATAAACAGGATATGGAACTATAAAAATAAATATGATTTCCCACCACATAAAAAAGGGAGGTCAATGTGAATGAATAGGAAAAAAAGACTACAAGGAAAAGTACTAAAATGTTAGCCATAGTTGGGTTTAGGTGAGGGGACTTTGGGTTACTTTTTTACCATTCTCCTCTGTTCCATTTTTATATTTAAAAAAATTTTTTTAGGGCTGGCCTGGTGGCGCACTGCTACAGTGCGCCGCTTGGGAGCACGGCAGCGCTCCCGCCGAGGGTTCGGATCCCACATACAGACCAGCCGCTCACTGGCTGAGCGAGGTGCGGGAGCAACACCGAGGGTTGCGATCCCGTTGCCGGTCCCAGTCCAGTACAGGCGCAACATTGAGGGTTGCGATCCATTGCCGGTCACGAAAAAAGACAAAAAGGAAAAAAAAATTTTTTTT